CCAGAACGAGAGAACCGCCTTGCGTCCATCATTTTACTATATGGCGGGCGGGAGGCTGTTAATAGCAAAAAGTCAAAAATACTGTGTTTTTTTTTTTTTTTTTTTTTTTTTCTCAAAATTGTCAAGCTTTTTTTTTTTTTTTTTCCTATACCACCAAAAGAAAGCTCAATTCGTTGGGAAAAAAAAAAAGGACATAAATTTGATTTGGGTGCAGCGTTGCATGACCGCACAATTGTCAGTTAAACCAACGCAAAAAATGGCCTGGTCAGGAAGGGGGGAAATCCTCTGGAGGGCAAGGGGTTAATTTCACCCTTCCAAAACAGAACCCCTAAATATGTTAATATTTATTAACGATTTATCTTTTTTTTTTCTTTTTTTTTCCCATCAATTTTGAATGTTGCCCATTTGTTGTGGTTCTCCTTAACCTCCTGTACAGGAAAGTTACCTCTGGAGTCTGTTCAGGTGGTTTTAGAAGAGCTTAGGAAAAAAGGTGAGCACATATATGGTGAGAATGTTTCAGCACAGTGCTAGTGGGCTTCTAAAGTGGCCCATACATGATTTTTTTTTTTTTTATTAATTTCGTGTTTTTTTCGTTCAACTGGTGGGTTAAATGAGGAAATGACTGGACTCCCACACCCCAAATTTCGATGTGGATGAGTGAATCCTCCCACTGAACCTTTGTTTCCTTACAATGGGGAGATTCCCTGCATTCAGAATACACTGATCAGTACTGCCAGCCAGCGGCGCTGATTGCTGGGAAGTTTTCCAACAGACTAGTTGTACACATGTAGATCGACTTCTGTACAGGCAGCCTGCCCATACGTGGATCAAAATTCAGCCAGTTCCTGCCAAACCTGCCCAATTCTGATCCATATGGTGGCTTAAAACAAATCATATGCAGGGAGTTTCATTTTGACAGTTATATTGACATTGTGTTTTGTGTGTTTTTTTTTTTTTTTCCCCCCCATGTATTTTGTACTGGGTGGGGGGGGAAGGTGTTCACGATTCTGTGTGTAATGGATGTACATTTTACTTTGTTTGAGATGTGCGTTGAACACTTTTTTTCATGGGCGGCACAGTGGCTTAGTGGTTAGCACTTCCGCCTGGCTAGGGTCGTTGGTTCAAATCCCAACCACAGCACCACCTGCCTGGAGTTTGCATGTTCTCCCTGTGCCTGCGTGGGTTTCCTCCGGGTACTCCGGTTTCCTCCTACACTCCAAAGACATGCTGGTAGGTTTAATTGGCTCCTGTCTAAATTGTCCCTAGTATGTGTATGTATGAATGTGAGTTAGGGACCTTAGATTGTACAACCCTTGAGGGTTAGGGACTGATGTGAATGTACAATATATATGTAAAGCGCTGCGTAAATTGACGGCGCTATATAAGTACCTGAAATAAAATATTTTATGTCCAGATAAGCTACACAAAAAAAATAACCTAACGTTTTTCCTACTGTCATATATGAATGCTTGGATCATGATGTGTCCGAATTCAGATTTCTTATGTTTCTCATGGCCAGTTGTAGAAACAGGCTTCTCTGCATGAGGAATTAATAGGGTCGTGCTGCAGGATCCGGCTGACAGGTATGAGTAGGGGTAGTGCACCGGTGAAGGGACGCTGTACATTTCCTGCCTCTCATCCAAACACTCTGGTAAACTTTTTGACAGCTGAGGATGTGTTCTAAATGTCATGGCTGATCATCTATTATCTAGACCAGCCTTCTTCAACCAGGGAGCCTTCTGGGTTCCTCAGGGGTGCCTTGACAAAATGTGTAAAAATTGGCCAATAATTATGTATGAGCCAGTGGGTGCATTAAAATGGTTGTGAAGGCTCAAGGTTTTGTACCTTCTTGCATTCTATGTGTGCAGCAGTGCCCCCAGCCCCTCAATACTTACCTGAGCCCCATCGCGATCCTTTGATGTGCATGGGAGCCTCTGCTGTCCTGGGTCTCTGCCTCCTGGCTGAAGTAGCAAATAGGAGCTATTGGCTCCTGCTGCTGGGAATCAGTCAGTCAGCCAATCAGGAGAGAGGGGGGGTGGGCCAAGCTGCAGCTCTGTCTGTGATTGGACACAACATAGCAAGCTGCTTGCTGTGGGGCACCCTACAGGAGGGAGGGGCCAGGAAAGCCTGCGGGGGACCCGAGAAGCGGAGGATCCGGAATTTTCTGCAAAACCACTACACACAGTAGGTAAGTATAACATGTTTGTTATTTTCCAAAAAAGAAAATTATATAAATTTAATTTTACTTTCTGTCCACTTTTTCTGTTACTTTTAATTAAGTTATTTTTACATTTCCTGGATTGTATTTTTAAAATTCATATTCATTTAAATTCATGATATTAAAGTCGAATGTGATACAATTATAAATAAAAAAACTGTCCATTATGGTTTGCGGCCAAGTACATCCTGAATTTTGGTTTTCGGCCTAGAATTTTTATTTGGGTACACCACGAACATTAAACCAAAAATAAACATTTCTATTGTTGCTTACCAATTCTTAGATGTGATGGCTGCATTTGTTTTCTTTAAGCCTCCTTTCCTCTAATTTCACCTAGTGATCTAGCAAGATAGTCTTTTTAGAATCACTTTAAGCCTGCCTGTGCACAGCGCACACGCTACACAGCCCTTGTTGACACAGGTCCCTATCACCATGTATGCAGGACACATACTAGACAACCCTCACTGACACAGGTCCCTATCACCATGTATGCAGGACACATACTAGACAACCCTCACTGACACAGGTCCCTATCACCATGTATGCAGGACACATACTAGACAACCCTCACTGACACAGGTCCCTATCACCATGTATGCAGGACACATACTAGACAACCCTCACTGACACAGGTCCCTATCACCATGTATGCAGGACACATACTAGACAACCCTCACTGACACAGGTCCCTATCACCATGTATGCAGGACACATACTAGACAACCCTCACTGACACAGGTCCCTATCACCATGTATGCAGGACACATACTAGACAACCCTCACTGACACAGGTCCCTATCACCATGTATGCAGGACACATACTAGACAACCCTCACTGACACAGTTCCCTATCACCATGTATGCAGGACACATACTAGACAACCCTCACTGACACAGGTCCCTATCACCATGTATGCAGGACACATACTAGACAACCCTCACTGACACAGGTCCCTATCACCATGTATGCAGGACACATACTAGACAACCCTCACTGACACAGTTCCCTATCACCATGTATGCAGGACACATACTAGACAACCCTCACTGACCATGCAGGTAGACAACCCTCCTATCCCTATCACCATGTATGCAGGACACATACTAGACAACCCTCACTGACACACCCTATCACTGACACATACTAGACAACCCTCACTGACACAGGTCCCTATCTTTGTATATACTGCAGAGCACAGGTCCCTATCTACAGAGCACAATCTACACAACTCTCGCTGACAAAAGCCCCTATTGCCATATATGCAGAGCACACGCTACGCAACCCTCAGTGACACAGGCCCCTATTTCCATATACGCAGAGCACACGCTATGCAGCTCTCAGTGACACAGGCCCCTATTGCCATATACGCAGAACACACGCTACGCAGCTCTCAGTGACACAGGCCCCTATTGCCATATACGCAGAGCACACGCTACGCAGCCCTCAGTGACACAGGTCCCCTATTGCCATTACGCAGACACAACTCATCATGACACAGGAGGCCAATAAAGACTTCAGAGCCCATATGGTTCATGGAGGCCAATAAAGACTTCAGAGCCCATATGGTTCCCCCCCCCCCCCCCCCCATATTCATTTTTTTTTTTTTCTTTTACCCATTGAACCTATTGGCTATTTGCTTTGTTGACCATCCCTCAATCGGATGGCTTGTTATACACACCCCTAAGTTTTAAGACTTCCTGTGTCTCTAAATGAATGAGAAGAGCAAAAAAATATTTGTAATCCCTGTAAAGCCCTTGTCTTGTACTCTTTTAGGGACGCATGTCTCACCCCCCCTGTGATCATGCTTTTGGTACTGCTTTGCTGCAAATCTGAGGCATGCTGGAACTAGAAAGGGGTTATGCCCTGGGCTGGCCTAGAGTTTGTTTTCCAATGTGCAATCCTGTAGGCAGCAGTATAACCTGGAGGTTTAAGACTTACTGGGGTAGATTTATGAAGACTGGAGCACTCAGTCTGGTGCAGCTTCCAAGTTTTACTGCCAAAGTTTATTTGAACAAGCTGAAGTTAGAAGCTGATTGGTTACCTTGCACAGCTGTACCAGCAGCTGTGCATAGTAGCCAATCCGCTTTTAACCTCAGCTTGTTCAATTAACCCCTTGCCTGCCAGGCACTTTTGCCCCCTCCCTGCCCAGGCCAATTTTCAGCTTTTAGCGCTGTTGCACCTTTAATGACAATTGCACAGTCATGCAACACTACCCATATGAAATTTTATCCTTTTTTTCACACAAATAGAGCTTTATTTTTGTGGGATTTAATCACCACCGAGGGTTTTTATTTTTTGCTAAACAAACGAAAAAAGACAGAAAACGAAGAAACACTTTTTTTTTTTTTTCTTTTTCAAAATGTTCAATTATAAAATTTTGCAAACAGGTAATTTTTCTCCTTCACTGATGTGCGTTGATGAGGTGGCACTGATGGGCAGCACTGGTGGGCATTGATGAGGCACTGATGAGGCTGTACTGATTGGCAGCACTGCTGGGCACTGTCTTCATTAGGCAGCGGTGGTGGGCATTGATGAGGAGGCATTGGTTGGCTGCACTGCTGGGCACTGTTTGTCATTATTAGGCAGCACTGCTGGGGCTGTACTGATTATCAGAGTAGATGTCTCCTTTCCACACTTGCCGGTTATTGGCAGTACTTTCCTCACACTGTGACCGCATAAGTAAAGTACTACCAATAACCGGCAAGTGTGCTTACCACGTGATCAGCCGTGTCCAATCGTAGCCAATCACGATGTAAAGGGCTCCTGTGATTGGCCCTTTAC